ATTACGTTACTAATTTTAAAATAGTTTTCATGAAAACTAAAAGAAGTTCAGTATTTTTAACTTTATTTATGAAAAAATAAACACAATCTGTTTTCTAAATAATATTGATAATTCAGCATATTAGATCTAATCAAAAAATGTTTTAACAAAGATATTCCTTACGCTACTTTTGGGTACTTTGTACTATATTTTTTTCATCCTAGAACGTCAAATATGAGAAATATTCTTTCAAAAGTTTAATTATATCAAATTAAAAATTTATAGTAAGCTATATTGAACAAAAACAGTCAAATTTCTTTGAGATCTATTAATTAGTCTTAGAAAATAAATCACAGTAATAATAGGACAGTGACGTTAATGTAATTCGAAAATAACGTTTAGGAACTATAAGGCAACGTCTATATGACTCTCAATTATGACAACAATTATGGTAACTTGTACTTATCGTATTAAACATAATATTACTAGTATGTCATTTAAGAGCGTTTAAAACGTACGGCATTTCATACAAACTTTCAAGTCCTTGTTTTCGAAATGCATGTACCGATTTTAATGAAACTTCACACGCATAAGCAGGACACATAGTTCTAAAAAGTTAGTAAAGAACATTTTTGAAATGTCTTATTTAAAACAAGATAATTGGAAATATCTGTTTCTATGGAAAATTTAAAATCAGCTGAATCTAGCTGTAACATTATTTTTCGAAATAGTTCTCATTAACTTTTTGGACCTATATATCCTGCTTATGCATAGGAAGTTTCATTAAAATCGGTTCATTTATTTCGAAATATAAAGACTTGAAAGTTTGTATGAAATGCCGTACGTTGTAAACGGTCTTAAACTGTAACAAAAAACTATTCATCAGTCCCAAGACAAATCGAACAAAGGTTGAAAAGGTTGTTCCGCTACATATCAGGCAAACCCAATTTTTACATGCATTACATTTTACCATTCTTTGTATAACAAAAGGCTCATGGCAATTGTTATCTGAAACAGATACGAATGATTGGGATAGATTTTTCCAAAAAATTACATCACAATGTAAAGTGATCGTGTTTTTGGAGGCACCAAAGTGCATTGATTGGACTTCTTCACTATATTTACATTCAAAATTCTCTGAAAAGTCGCATAAAATGAGTATCTCGTCATCTTACATGTTCTTGATACAATTTCTGTATTGACGTTGTTGTTCAATCCAAAAGAAATGAGTTTTAAACGCCGGTAGCTCGTTCTGAAAGTTGGTGATGAAAGTACAGTTCCTTTTACTTGTTGTTTGGTGGTCTTTTTAGTTGTATATACTTTGCCAGATATTTCATATTCATGGTTTACCCTAGCCCATTTGAACCATGATATAGCAGAATCGAGGTTTTGTTCATCATATGAAATACTCTTACAATCTTTACATTTATTGTACATGCAGTCATAACGCGTAATATCACATGCAACGATGTTCAAGAGCTCCTTTATATTCTTGTAAGTTATGACATCTTTACACTTCAATGCATTAAACATGTACTCAAAGTTACTGTGCTTAATACATAAGCAGGTTTCTCTATTATTGATACTTGGAGACAGTACATAATAAGGCTTGTATCTGTAAAAGGTGGTGAAGCCGCATGACCCACCGTCTTTTTTATAAATTTCGTATACGTTTTTCAGTGTGTCGACTAAGTATCTTATTTGTGCTTTTTGTTTGTCTTTGGACCTGGTTTCCTTCTTACCAGCTGTGCTTTTACTTATGTAGTCTCTCAAATAAAAAAGTTCTATTTCTTCCTGAGTCTTCTTATTTATTGGTCGTTGTAAATTAATCCTTTTCCTGATTCTTTCTTTAAGACCTAAAATCTTACTTTCAGGTGCTTTTTACAATATATGCGCCTGTTTCCTAATCACGTTTTTAACTAATTGTTTTTCTTTATTTTTCTTACAATTCCTGTACGTACTACGAATTGATATTTCCATTATTTCTTGTCTTGCTTTCAATTTATCGTTTTCTGTGTTCAATAAATCAAATTCGGTTTCATGTTTTTTTTTTCATTCGGCGTAATTTCTTTCTCAGAGTCTGTGTTGTTGTATTATATTGACGAATCGTCTTGAAAGCCTTTTTTGTAGTTATTTAACAATTTTCAGTACCTAATTTTCAATGAATGTGGAGCTGAATTATTGGATGCGTCACGTGATTGCCCTGATTGTGGATTCGGTTGAGTGTTTTTGTTTTCGTTTTTGTTCTCTCCAGAGTTTTCTTTTTTCCATTTTCTCGTCCTCAGTGAGCTTTTTAATCCTCTTTTGGTGCTTTTTTTGTCTTCGTAATTCCTTCTTCTTAAATTCTTCATATTTTTCCGGGTTTTGTTTGATTTTTTCTCGGTACCGTTTTGACTTTTCTGCAGCCGTCAAGGGCATATTTAAACCTAAAATCAATAGTGAGTTATCATAATGTACCCCGTACGAAAAATCTCAAATTTTTGTGAAAAAATTTATATAGATTTACAAAAAAGCGTTGCGTGAAATATTTGTCAAAATAAATGTGATAACTGTTTATCAAATATATTTTCACGCAAAAACAAAAAATTTTCATTCAGGATACCATTAAAATTAAACACTAAATGCAGCCATTTCAACAATATAACGTAATAACTATCGTTATTTCACTGTTATTTTTCTAATGTTATCCTGAATGGAGTGTTTTGAGCTGAAATATCTAGTCGAAAAATCTTGTTTGATTTACACACGAAATTAAGTAATAAGCAATTCATTTAAAAAATTCAAGGCATTTTATTATTATTTTAATCATACTTAATTTATTTAGACTTTAGAACACTAATTAAAACAATGACTTTATGAACCGACCTTTAGGATTCCATTACGTCACTTTTGAGTTCCATTCATGCGATAGTAGCGCTAATGGAGGTAACGTAACCATGCCAATAAAATTTTCAAATGAATTTACTAATTAGTTATCAAACTTTTGTTCAATATAACTTAACATTTCAAATAACAATAAATTAACATGTTTAATAGAAAATAGAATGAAATACACATGAATACGTTACCTGGAGAAAAGCAGTATCGTTTGTGGAATTATTTTTTTTACATGAGTCGAGACGACCACTTCGATTACGTTTTGTTGGCGAACTGGCTGTCAAAAATTAAATACAGCAGCCACCATAGACTAATAATGTTGCTATATTTGGGAAAATGTATTGAATTGGTGGTATTTTTTGTTGGAAGTCGTTGAAAATGCGGTCACGTACGCGGAAATTCCATCATACGCGATTTTGCAGGACAACACAAAATCTGGTATTTTAAAATAATTTTCAACCGTAACATGTACATTTCAGGTTTAAAATTGAAGTTACGTTCATAAATGACCAGTCAAATGCAAAAAGTTTGAATAATAATATAACACGACCGTATTATGTGACTCTGAAGTTGACACAGTAGATGTGGGACATACCAAAAACATCGACCCCATTTTACTTATTTTGATTTTATTTTTGATTTATAACAGATTCAGACCTTATTTTTATTTGATTTATGAGACTATATGTTACTTTATTATTAAAATAAATGATATGTAATAAAAACTTTTATAAAATTTGATAATTTATTCTGAAAGTGGCCGGACACTGACTTTTTTCAAGGTACAACTTTTTTGGAAAACGCCCATTTACAGTGAACGAATCAGTATACTTGTATATGTATAATAGGTGTAGATAGGTACGTTGTTGGTATTCAAGAAGTGGAAGCTACTGGGAAGGAAAAAAAGTAGGACTATTTATCTTCAAAAAGAGATGAGATGCCATGAAAACATAACTTGTGAAAAATTCAAGTCTCGCAACTCAGATTTTCTACCGTAAAAAGTTGTGAGATCCATGTAATACCAAGTCGGTTAATTTATTCAGTCCCTACTTAAGGGTCCTTCTATTTTAAGTTATTACGTAATTAGCTAACATTTTATAGTGACCATGTCAATGTTAAAAATCTTTTATGTTTTAAATATATAGATAAACTTGGCAATCGCACTAAGCAATCTGATTTAATATAATATGTATTACTTGTGAGATACATTGTGTTTTCATGCGATGACCAATTCAATCCATTTATTTGAAACATAAAAAGATTTTTAACATTGATATGGTCACTATAAAATCTTCTTAGGTTAGCTAATTACGTAATAACTTAAAATAGAAGGACCCTAAAGTAGGGACTGAATAAATTAACCGACTTGGTATTACATGGATCTCACAACTTTTTACGGTAGAAAATCTGAGTTGCGAGACTTGGATTTTTTACAAGTTATTTTTTTCATAGCATTATTATATTATTTGTAAAAAGATAATATCTACAAAACATATGCCATTAAATTTATTATATTCGAGCTTTCCTATAAACGATATTTGTTGTTGTTTTATTTTGTGGCAGAAAAATATCCTCAGTATATGAGGTAGTTGGCCGGTGATAATGGTCACTACAGTTAAATTTTCCGTCAATTCCTCTATAACCTCATCCCATTATACATGCTAGTGGGGTTCAATTTCTCAAAAGCATGATTGGCATTCCGAATTTTAACGTCAATTCGTGTGGTAGCAGTCCAGAAGGGCTTAATGAATTTAAAAATTCCTGTGGGTAATGGACTGCTTCTTCGATATTAGTCACGGTGTAGATATATTTATAATAAATTTTATGTGTACGGGGAATTTTTGAATAATCAGATTGTTTATTTCGTTGACGTTATCATTCCTAGGCGACACTATTGCTCTAAAAAAAAAACCAATGAAAGTCCTTTTCGTGCAAATTCTCGATGTCAGGGTGTACTCATGAAGTTATAGATAAGGATGGAGACCACACTTCGAATACCTACTTGAAGCTTAACCTATGTATTACTATCTCGCTCTCTGTGGGCAGACCCTCTCCTTCTAAGTAGGTAACCTTTATTTTATTTTTCCCAGGATATCGCTATAAGTAGTTGCATTACATTAAGTGGCTTATTTTAAATATCTACATCACTGTTTACTACTAAGATCTAGCCTATATAGATAATATATTTTTATACAATTTTTGGGAATTGACTGGTCTTCAATATTACAGGCAGTACGTTTCACTCCTGTTTCCTTAAGTGCAGAACTACTTTCATAAATGTCAGAACTAGTGCTTGGTACAGCCAGAGCAGCTATTTGCACAATAGACTCTTCATGTAATGCACTTGTTGTCTGCAAATGATAACATATTTTACAAAATGTTGCTTTATATCATACATTTAAACTACTACATTTCTAAATATATAATATATTACGAAAAATTAGATAATTAAATTATATTAAATTTTTACCTTGCATGGTGATACTGTTTCTTGATTTATTATAACAGTAGGAACTGCTGTTGGTTTTAAGCGCCTTGTTGATGAATCATAATCTGATTCTTGAAAATGCAAATTGCAAATCCTTGCACTTTCATAATACTTCATTTTAAATGGTACAATTAATCATCACAAATTTCTCCGAGTACTGTGTTTAGGAAATCTAAAAAAATATTCGTAATTATTGTAAACGTTACAAAAGTATCAGAATAATGAGAAACAAAAACTAAATAAAAAGTAAATTGTCTGCCTAAAAAAATTAAATAAAAAGAATATATTATTATGTTACTAATTAATAATTTAATATTATGAAATCTATGAAATCCGTCATTATATAGAATACATAGGAATTGTATATAATTCCTAAATGTCATGCATTTCCGGTAACATAGTAAGAAACATGTACATATAATTAGTTAAGGACACGGAAAGTTTCAGATACATCCTTAATATGGTCACACTACTTCAGTGCGATTTCTTTTAAACAAAAACAATAAAATTGTTCAAAGTCAATTAAATTCAATGTAAAACTATTTGTAACTTCGTGGGTGTACTGCATCTATTAAAATTTCTAAATTATGGACTATTTGGCCTAGAGACTCGTCCAGAAGGACGTCACAATTTCTGCTTAAATATGGAGCGGGAAAAATTTCTTCCCCAAGTTTTAGCAGTTGTTGTGGGAAATCACTTTCTGTGCTTCCATGAATATGAGCCCTCATATTTGACCGTTATTTCAAATTTTCAATCGAAATCCATAAGGGACACGATTTCAAGCATGCTTTGATGATATCTGCCCGCGTACCTCTGTTAATGACGAGACGAGAGGAGAGAAGAGTCTGTCGGAAATCTGGTGCAAATACAAAAGTGATACCACCCATGAGAGCAGAGGAGTTTCGAAGATCTTTTAAGGTTCTGTCCACGGCTTCTATATGTTCTCTATGGCTCATGGTGCATTCATCGCACATAATCAACGAGGCGTCTTGTAGTAATTTACCAGAGACCCATTTTGCGGATAGAACATGTAGATTGTTGCTCAAGAGTTACGGATAGCGGATGTTTAAAAGTAGAATGAGCAGATTGTCCATCCTTTAAGAGAGTTGCAGCAATTCCTGACGAAGTAACTACTATCGCTATCTTCCGCGATTGCCATATCTTAGCAAGTATCAAATGGGGAGCGCGAACTTCGAGAGAGACATCAACGCGGATGGTTGCTGAATTAACAAAGATTTAAAAAGAGAATTTTTTTACTGTAATGTAAGTGGTGGTTATGGATGGTACAGGCACATATATAGCCTTGAATACGAATTTATTGAATGATTTATTTGAATATAACGATTAATACCAAGGTACGAATAATGTGGCCTAGTTTGTACCGCCGTTACTACGAAAAGGTAGTTATTGTGACATAACTGTAATAGATATACGATATCACAGATTTTTTGTAGATATTGATGTCCTCTATAAAACTGTTGTATACATCATTTTACTCTATTGTCAATAGTTTCCACAGCGTACGCGATATACGGATTTTTCGGCGTTATTATTGTATATTTTAACATGAAAAAGTAGTTATTGTGACATAACTGTAATAGACATATGGTATCGGGGACTTTTTTTTAGATGTTAGTATTTTCTATAAAACTGTAGTATTACACCGTGGCTTATTAATTTTACTTTGCTCTATAGTCAATAGTTTCCGTAGCGTACACGATATAAGGATTCTTTTAGTATTTTTTTCACACCGTGGGTTAGTTACATTAAAAAAGTTTTCGTACGGATCCCTAACTTTTTTGAAAATATACTATAGCCTATGTTTATCAGAGATAATGTAGGATTGTAACGATGAAAGAAATTTTTAATTCGGTCCAGTAGTTTTTGAGCCTATTCAATACAAACAATTTTTTCCTCTTTATAATAGTGTATATGTAGATATATATATATCGATATTTTTATAATTATAAATATATCGATATTTTAATATATCGATATTTTTACCCAAGCATAATATGTAACATTTGAATCATATTTGAATTTTGAATATTGTAAAATTGAAATGTCAAATTAGAATTACTATTTAGTATTTAGTAAATATTTAAAAATCGAACTATAGCAATTAGTGAAATATAATAATACTAATCATATACTAATGATGCTGCTAGTGTGCTAGTTCGTGAGTAGTAAAAATCGACTTTTGTTAAAAATAAACACTTTTTCAATAAAATTGTAGATAATTTCAGGAAGAAGCACTGTGGAAATTTCAGTAAAAGGCACTTTAGTTTGTTGATTATTTTTTAAATAATAGGCGATTGCAGTATGAAAGATGAAAAATCAGATATTCAAACAACACGACAACAAGAAGCGAGAGCAAAACTTCGAGAAACCTTTTTGAAAGCAGTTAATGTTTTAAATGGTATATAAGGATTTTGCTTCAGTCAACTTATTTTATATTAGAAGAGGAATAATATTTATATATATATTTTAACCACCGAGTTGGTGCGATCCTCAATATTTACCCATTTGATTCGGTGTTTGGTGTTAAAAAAGGTGGCTAGACTTGTTTTGGGCTGTAATGATAATAATGTTCATGATAACGTGTTCATAGATTTATTCTATTTTTTAATAATCATAGCAACTAGATTTATTTTATAAGGAGTGTGTGATGGTGGCTGTACATGCTCGTCGAAACACCACGAGACAGGCAGCGTACGAGTGTGAACTTGATGCTCTAGTGGCGTCGCGTCGCGTCTCATGGCCCTCGTGCATTCTCGGAAGCGTGTTGGTTTTTTGCGCTCGAGTCAAAGGATTTCGTGAGTCTCGCGATGAAAATGAGAGCGTACTATATTATATTCACCGTACATGGTTCATTTATGGTAAATAGAAATCATCCACCATCTTCTTCGCCGTGGCTTAATAATTTTATTTTTTAAGGTAAATGTGTTAAAAGTTATAATAACTAATAGCACAATGGCAAAATGCAGCAACAGTTTCATCTACGTCCATCTCAGCAGGCATACGAAGTTCAAAAAACAATGAGTGTGTACATGGTGTGTTCTCATGTCGAGCCTCAACATGATGAGAGACATGCGAGGCGATGAGATGAGCATGTACAGCCCGCATGAAATTATTGAAAATTCTAAAGTTGGATGAAGGTTATGTCCTCATCTATAATTGCTAATATCTAAAGTCACAGCAGATGAGGACATAACTTCACTTTAGAATTTTCAATATATGGGGCTGTATATGCTCATCTTGTCACCTGTGTCTCTCATATGTGAGGCTCGACATGAGAACACACCATGTACACACTCATTGTTTTTTGAACTTCGTATGCCTGCTGAGACGTCAGTCAGTCGTCTCAGTCCCCAGTGACCATGGGTGCTGAAAAGCACTCGAAACGTCAGGTATTAAAAATAATTAAAAATTAAATGTGATAAAATCCGTAAAAGTAGTTCTAAATAATGTGTACTGTTCGCGAAAATTTAAGAAATCATAATATATTTTGAGTAATATATCGGAGTTACTGCAGATGCCTATGGGCTTGACATACTTTCAGGTGGACAGTTGCTTGTTCATGTTTCTGATATACTAAAATAATATAAGGAATTCATATTTTTAGGTGAAACATGTACTGTCTTGACATTTGAACAATCAACACTAGCTGGGACATTCTCTGGCTGGAAACCAGATGGCACAGATATATTAATTAGTGATCTTAAGACTCCAGCAAATATTAAAATGGCATCAGCGCTGCTTAGAAATTCAGACATACTTGCAATAAAATTTGATAACTTGGTACAGTTGCCATTTTAAATGCTGTGTAATGCAAGAATTTATATGGAATTTAATTAATTTTTATTGAATAAAGCTTACTCAATATGTGAGTTTTCTTTTGTCAAAAAACATTATACTGGAATCTAGAAATAAGAGATGGGTTAACTTTCATTATGCATTGTATTATACATATATGCTTACATAACATTTTCACTTGTTAACAAGAGAGGAAGGCAAAGAACTTTCATTTGGCACAATCCTGACACTTCCATTTCCTTCTTTAGATCCATATACATATTATGCATACATGCATATTGATTAAGGGTACTCTTAAGTTGGCCCATCTTCATGTATTGATCATATAATATAAAATACACAATTAAGTATAAAACAGCCAAGCTGCAGTATGTTAGTGATTGGTCCTTGACATATTTGTCCTTAACGAAACTAGGAAGTCCATTTTTGTTCATCAACTAATCAATCAACTAGTTAAATTTGTCATTCAATTTCAAATTTTACATTTAATTTACGCGACATCATCTATGGCTCGACATAGTCGACATATATACGAATTAATATATTACACTAGTCTATTATAGTGTAACATATTAATTCGTCTATTGTTAAGTCGGTGCCTATTTTAATCTAAACTTCCCTTCATACTTTTTCAGGCTTAGGTACTAGCTGAACAGAGTTAAAATTAGTTTGTTTATGACAAGCTACCTTACATTCCGCCTGAAAAACTGTGTTATGGGTACCCAGTGGTGTACATATGTGGTTATTTAGGTCTTCAGAGAAAGTTAGTACACTTTAATTTGTTTTAGAACCATCCGTGAAAACTCTAAGCTTTTTTGAGCTTAATCCCTCCGGCTGTCTGGTTTACCTGTCAAGCATACCACTGCAAGAATTCAAAACACAATAAGTTCTTTTTGCGTAGATCGGACCAAAGACAATAATTAAAAAGCTGATGGTAACCCTCTCAGAAATGAGGGGAGGCCTGTGCCCAGCTGTTGGACGTATATAGGCTGTGTAATTTACTTTTACTCCGTGTTAACTTTGACATCGGGATGTCAGTCACCTCAGTCCCCCGTGACCATGGGTGCTGGAAAGCACCCGAAACGTCGGGTATTAAAAGTAAAATAAATAAAACGCAATAAAATCCGTAAAAGTAGTTTTAATCAAGATTTGAACTTAAGTTTAAAATTTGACTACTGTTTGACAAATAATCCTGGTATAATGTTACTAACTACTCAGTGAATACACTTTAATATATGTTCACAAAAACAATAGTAAGGTGGGTGAACCATGGAAGACCATGCTTCTTAGAAGGCCAATTA